CCACAACACGGCGAGGCAACCCGCGGCCTCCCTTGCTGCCATTTGCCCCTGGGACAAAACCAACCTAATTTTCCTCACCTGAGAAAACCTCTCCTGGGTGCCCCAACGCAGTACATGGGGAAAAGGCAGGCAAAGGCACAGCCAGGGAGACCAAAAATATCCACAGCACAAGCAACAATCTGACTGGGAAAACTTGACATTTCCCTTGTTTTAAGTGTTAGCAAATTATTCTACTACTAATTAAAAAATAATCATAATTATTATTTTAAAAAAAAAATCACTTTATAAATCTGCTCTGCTATTGTTTCCAGTCTTCTGTGATGGATAAATAAAGGAAATCAATAATTATTACCAGGGCTGCTCAGCAGGAGGGGAGGCTAATGGGGGGACCAGCACAGGGTCACTCGCTCCTTGACATTCAACCGGTGGGATGTGTCCCCCACCGCTACCCCTTTCCCAAATCCAGCCCTCCACAAACAAGGCAGGAGGGAAGAACAAACGGAGAAAGGAGACAAAGAAACCCAAGGGATGAAGACGACCAAAAGAAACCCACACACAGCTTTGGCAAAGGCTCGGCCCAGCCTGGCGCATCAGTCAGCCTCTGAAGAAGGGCTGGGGGACCCAGACGCGGAGGGGGCAGGGGCCTGGCAGCCTTGTGGAAAGCTGGGAATGCCTGGGAGCAAGGGTGCTCGAGGAACAGCCTCTGCATCATGGGCATCGCAGCCCAGCTTTGTTCTTATTTTGTGGGTGTTTTGTTTTTTTTTTGGTTGGGTTTTTTTTTTTGTTTTTTTGTTTGTTTGTTTGTTTGTTTTTTTGTTGTTGTTTTTTGTTTTCGTTTTTTTGTGTGTGTGTGTGTGTGTTTTGGTTTTTTTTTGTTTGTTTTTTTTTGTTTGTTTGTTTTTTTTTTAATTTTGCCACCCCTGCTAGCTCAGATTTCCAGCTGTTGCGAGGAAGCGGTTTGGTTCGTTATCCTGAGCCACGGGAGCTTGGAGGATCCCAGCCACGTAATGACAGGAATTTGCCAGGAGGGCAAAATCGAAAGCAATACAAGCCTAGGAAGCAGCAGGACCGCTCTCTCACCCCTTCTCCCTGGCTTTATAACTACAAAGTAAAAATTAAGCTCAAAGCTGATTTAGATCCAGACTTTTTCCTTCGGCAGCTTCTCCATGCAACTAAACTATCACCGGGTACTGGGAAGGTCAGAGGGAAAGTCAGCATGATTCCAGCAGACTGGAATAATAATACAAATACAAAAATACAGTGCCCCATCCTCAACGTCAAAAGGGATAAAAGCTGAGACCCACGACTGACATCATTCTAGTGAGGGGTTACCTTGCCATCATTAGGCTTCAGAGTCAAACACCAGCAGAGAAAGCGTTTAATAATCTTCCTTGAGAACAAGCAAAATCCACCCAGCATACTCATCCAAGGTCTCGAACAATTTCCCCAGCCTCCCAGCGATCCCCGCTCCCGCTTTTCCTCCCACCTCCTCCCCAGCACGATGATGCATTGCACCTTGACCACGCAAGGAAGCCATAAAGCAAGGCTGAGGGACAGGGCAGAGCAAGACGAATGGATTTAATATCAACCCGAACGGAGCATGGGCTACCGCACCAAATGAATTATTCATTTTGGATTCAATAACAGCCTCCATTTCGCATTGACCCACAGCTCTCACGGGCACGAGGTGTCGAGGAGGATGGGGTTGGCAGTCCCACTGGGTTTTCAGGTACGGCGTGCCGTCACCCAGCTGAGAGCGACGCGGCTTCGCACCAGCCAGGAGGCCTGTGCTGAACCCAAACCAGACCGGGACGGAAACAAATAACAGGGCAGATCAATAAAGAAAATCTGCCTCCCTCCCACCCCCATCTTAGCATTGTGGTGGTAATGATCCCCCATCACTCTGACCCTAAAACACAATGATAATTTCTTCGGGACTCAAAATACCCCCGCTGAAGACTGAGCTCTGCCTGTGCCTTTCGCGAGTGGCTAAGTGCTGATAAAAGCTGGTATTAATGAATCCCTCAGCGGCCCCGAGCTCTGCTGTCAGCACGAAACTGCTCCGGTCTAATAGCCCCATGATAGGCACAGCCTCTGTCCCAGGGGGTGGGGGGGATGAGAGAGGGCTGGGGGAGCTAAACAATTCATCCCTATTTTTGTCCCACCACTGAAGAATTAAGCCCATTTTCTCAGCCTTAAAATACTGGTTTTGTTATTTGTTATAAAATTATGGTTTTGTTTTTTTTTTTTTTTTTTTCCTTGGTAGACAATTCCCCCAGGCTTGTTAAGTGGCTCATCTCAGGTTGATGAAGGCTTTGAGCAGATGTCAGGAGCACATGCCTCCCAGGAGCCGGGGTGTGATCCTGTCAGCATCCCTGCAAGGCAAACCCAACGGACGAACGAGGTGGGGGAATATGACCCCTTCAAGAGCACGAAGCCAAATGGAAAACTGATAAATTATTATTTCTAAACCTTGCAATGTGCTGTCTCCTGCCCACCGACCTTTGGAAAGGGCAGCAGTGGGCTCAGGTCTTCCCCTGTGGTCTACAAAGTCCGTGGGGAGACAAGGAGGAGCTTCAGGGCCAAAAGGTACATGCCAGCTACCAAGAAGCCAGTCCAACCCAAGGTCAGATTTTTACTCAAATGCAGTTAATTTTCCAACAGTCCCAATGTAAGCCCCAGCTCAGGCTTTTAGGGCTGATTTTAGTGAAATTCCAGGAGAGCCCAGCAGGCTTATGGGTTTTGTGTTCCTCACCAGCACTGAGCAGGACCTTCAAACGTGCAGGTCCTACTCGCCATCCATCCCCCTGGCACAGGAACTGGAAAATACTCTTAAGGGATTGGGAGAGGGGAGTTATCGGAGCTCTGTTCTGGAGACAGCATCATACCAGCACCTGACAACACTCACAGGATCATCAAAAAAACACAGCCCTGTCATCACGCACATGCTTGGTGCCGTTTAACCACCTGCTTGGTCTGCACCCACAGCGTACTTCGGTGCTCTTCAGGATCCCAAACGTCACTGGCTGACCCATAAGGACATTTCTACCCCCCTCAAACCTGCCAGGATCCTGATTTTTCCCCCTCAAGGAGCCCGAATGCAAAGCGTGCTCCTCACACAAAGGCAGAGAGCTCGGCAGAGCCCACACTCGGGCAGCACGAGGGGTTTCTCCTTTGGCATCGGCACTGCCACCGGGAGTGGGAGCACAGCCAGAGCCAGATGCTGCCGCACAGAAAACTCAGCAAATTCCCAGTTCACAGGGGTCTGCTTGGTGCAGCTTCCACGGCATGAAAGCATCATGACCATTCTGGGGTTTGCATGAAAAAAGGAAACAAAAAATGCCATGGAGATGGGTCTAATGCTCACCCTGCGCAGGTTTGTTCCCGTGCCACTCATGCCTTGCTGTCCTCCATCCTCTGCCCTGTTCCAAACTATGAGCATTAGGTGGGCACAGCACGCTCCTCTCGGGGGTTTAGAGGCACTCAAGACCTCAACCTCCTCCACAACCCCAGCTGGCAGCAGATAGAAAGGTCAACACCACCAAAATCCGCGGCAGTTTTACATTATCATTGTTTTCCTACATTTCTGGCAAAATGACATTATTTCCCAATTCCAGCCTTTCGCTAAAATTAGTATTTATTTTTGCATGATGAGAAAATGTCATTTTGCCATAAAACCATGTGCGCTCTCTGTTTGTTTATTCAATAGCAGAGGAACATCTCGCCAGAAACGCTCCGGTTTGCGAAGAGCCCTCCTTCCGACGGAGCGCTTCAGCTCCTCAAAGGAACAGACCACCTCCTGGTGGGAACAAAACCACGCTCACTGTCAACCGTGAAACTCAAAGGAATCCACCAGCGACGCTGCTCAGTGTGAAAGCAAGGCATGAGCACACAGAATCTGGAGGGTTCCCAGTTTTGGGAGCCCTGGCGCGGGAAGGCATCGCTGTCTCCACCTTGGCCGGGCAGGAAGGTGGTTTTTTCACAGTGAAAAACTACGCAAGCTCCCAGGTTTAAAGCAAGCGAACAAACAGGTTTCTCCATAGCCTGAATCCCAGCTTTGACATTTTCATATACCTGGAGTTCCAAGTGGAGAAGAAATACCGTGGTGGCCAACCCAAGGAGCATCACAGACAAGCCTGATGCTACACGTGCTGCCACCTGCACCAGAAGAGGTCCACATCAGACCTCCTCCCGTCACCCCCTTCTTCAAAACCAGCCCTAAAGCACTTGGACATCTGCCTTTGACCTTCTCCTCCTTCCCAACCCTTCCCTGACCTGGCGGTGCCCGCCTTCTAGAAGCTATTTGGAAAGCGCTGATAAAACAGGGCTAGCTTCTCATGCAAAAAGCCCTCTCCCTCTTCCCTCCTTCCAAGCAGCGTACCAAAACAATACCTTAATTTGAGAGAGAAGAAAAGGGCAGCAAGTAAAGCTAATAGAAAAAAAATACCCTCCGTTATTTGGGAAACAGTCACCAGAATGGCAAACGGAGATGAAAAGCGGCGAGCGCTACTTCCATATTTATAACCCTGTGCTGCGGAGGCCTCCAGCAGGCAGCAGCATGCTGGCGGCGTGGCTGGGGGAACCCAAAAAAAACAGCGAATAATTCCAATTAACGCCAAGAATCAGAGCAGTTTCACCGCAGTCGAGCCCGATGGCGGCTGCTCGGCTCCCACAGCTTTGCTGGGGAAATAACGAGGCAGATGAAAGGGGCGAGCGCCGGCCCGCACAGCGCTTTGAAGGCGGCAGCTCACAGAGGCGGCTTCCAGCGGGCACCCGCGCGCTCGCCACGCCGCTCGCCGAGTTTGGCTGCTGACCCGACCGCGCTGACAAGCCGCAGGTCGCCCACTGCTCCCAAATCCCCGGAGGAGAACCGCTTCAGGGTGGGTAAAGGGCCGATTTCACAACAGCCGTTGCCCGAAACGGCTTGTCTGGGGGCAAACGTTTTCTTAAGCAAAGCTTAAAAATAATCAAAGCACCTCGTTACCCAAGGCCAACCTTACCTTTGCAAGCCACGTTGTTCTCCGGCTCGTAGCCAGCCTTGCACGTACAGCGGCCGATGGGGACCATCCACTCCCCGTCCCCGTTGCAGTACAGTTTGATGGGCACGTCCACCTCCTCGGCGTTGGGGATGCAGGTGCCGCGGGCAGTCACTAGAGAGGTGCTCTCCGCGCCCGTCATCGTCTCCGGGAAGATGGCGAAGTTCTGCACCACGCTGGGGCACTTCTTGAAGAAGACCCTGACAGACAGCAGAGACATGCAAGCCCCGTAGTCCTGGAAAGCCAGGTAAAAGCCATTGCGGGTCAGGGGCCCGAAACTTCTCACTTCTGTGTTCACCTTCATCAACCTGCCACCAAAGTCCACCTGGGAGAAGCTCTCGTCAGCAGCAATGGTGTCCACTTTGAGGTAGGGTGCCTCTGTCCAGAAGGCGGACTTCTTGGTGGCAATGACAGAGTCTGTCTCGTAGTAGTAGAGGTTGAAGGTCTCCTTGCAGGAGCCGGGGACGTTGGGGAGGCTGCTGCAGTCCCGCACAGTGAAGCGCATCTCGGTGTAGATGCGGTGAGCTCCGCGCCGGTTGATGAATGTGGTGAGGAGCCAGTTGTTCTGGTTGGGCTCGAAGACGTTGCACACCTGGTACGTACGGATGGTGTTGAGGTTTTCGTCGTAGCCACTGACTTCTTCCCACTGCAGAAAGGAGAAGGGAGAAGCGATGAGAGGGAGGCAGAGGGCCCAGTGGTGGCCCATGAGCCACGGAGGTGCTGCTCACCCTGCGCAGGGCAGGGCAGGGCTGGAAGGAGAATCCCAAAGCCCCAGAGGGGATGAGGAACATGATATGATGCACGTGCAGAAACACCACCCAGGCCAGCACCACCGAAAAAATCCTCACCCTCTTACCCCTGCACGCTTCTCCCCATTGCTCCCCGCTGATGCTAAAACATCTTTTTCCACATGGGCAACTGTCTTAGCTGCCCTGAGAAGACGTGAAAATGGGAAGAAAGATGGTCCAGGAGGCAGGAGGTAAAGCAGCACATGAGGCTACGGCTTCATTAAAGCCTGAGCCAGCACGTGGGCTGGAGAGTGAGCCTGACCCCAGGCTCTCGGCATGATGGGATCATTTCCCCCGGCAAAGAAAACTAACTAAATAAAACATTACCACCGCAGAGAGAGAATATAGATTTGCAATTCGATTTATAGAAGGGCATTAATATAATCCAGGCTACAATTTCAATTAAGGGACAGCGGCAAACTGTGAATAGTCTATGATGGCATTAGAGTCCTACAGACAGATTTACAACCTCATAATCCATTCATTTTAACTAATCCATGTTTACAGTCTCCTCATAACAGCATTATTCATATGGCAATCTTTAAGCAGCACTCTGAATATCATGCGTAATTTCCAGGAGTAACGCTACAGCAGCGCTTGCTCACGTTTGTGCTTACGTGGGGGCACAACGGCAGACGGTTTTTGCCAACCTGCCCCATTACGTTGAGCCTTCCCAAAGAGCTGTTGCACCACAACCACCCCTGCAACCTCACAGGTTTTGCCCTCTTCCATTAAATAACCACGCTCCTCAACTGCTCCCCAAGCTTCCCCCTTGCAAACCACAGCCCTGATGTAAAAAAACACAGGTTTTTATTCTGTTTTCACTGCCAACAAGCACAGCTGAACGTTTGCTCCCGGGTCCACCTACTCAGCTCCGCTAAGTTTAAGCGAGGATCGCAGCTCAAGGTTGCACACTGTTGTTAAGCAATGTTTACCAAACCAGCAATAAAACCTCACGCATCCAGCTGAGAGCTCTCCCTTCTCATTCCACACCATGAAAGCACTACAAAAAAAACCCTCTCCACCCTGCACAAGACGTGGAGATTCAATGCCCTTTCATTACCAGACACCTTTTTCACATGAGAAAGCTGCAAGGTCCTCGCTGACCAAGGGGGTTGGCCTTGTTTTCCGTTCCCACTTGGGCTTTGCATTACAGCCCTGTCATCCAATTAACACCAGACAATGAGCTCTTCCAGCGCTCGCCCGCCTGCGTAACACCAGCTCCACTGCTCTGCTGTCTTTGCTGCAGGAACCCTCCTCTTCATCCCACCCGCCAGCTCCTGCACCCCGGCCGGGTGCATGGAAGGGGACCTCACCTGCTATCCTTTTATTCACTGTGCCCATCAGGGAGCCAGCCCCCTCCACCAAGTATCTCCTGTGCTTCGCTGTTGTGTTGGATTTTTTTTTTTTTTTTTTTTCCTGGGGTGGGTTCTATAAACAAAGCCTCAAAACCCAGAGCCAAAACCTGCCGGCAGACCCTGCTGCACTTCAGACACCCAGCACAGAGGGCTGCCCGCAGCTGGGAACGACGTGAAATGCCACTTGGAAAACCCTCATGAGGGTTTGGGGCCGGATCCTGATGCTCCCTTGGGTTGAGTGCTCCTGCAACCGGGCACTGAAGAGCAGCAGGTCCCCGTGGTTGGAAAGACCCACGGTGCCAGCAGCTGGCTGCTGCCATTGATGCTCTAATAGCAACAAACGCGTCGTTTTGATGCGATCCCACTAAATAATTCATAGGGAGCTGGGGATTAAAACAATGTTCTTCGTCTCTGCTGAGATGTAAAGCATGTCCAGCGGGGAGAGCAGGAGGAGAGCCCACGTCCCACCGCAGCCAGTCCCCAGGGACCACAGCCCCCGCTGCCCGGCTGGCATCCATGCCCCAGCATTAATATGAACAGCCCCCGGGCACATCTGTGAGCTCAGCATGCCGCCGGGAAATGCCACCACCTAAAGGGACCCAAACCCTGCACAGGTCAGGAGAGGTGGCTCATCAAATCCCTGTGCCTCCAGCCCCAAGAGATGAGAGGAGCCTGGGAGAAGAAGCTGATACCCCAGCAGCAGCCAGGAGCCCCTCTCCCATTCTCCCATCTCCTCCCCCCCGCGCCAAGGAGCAGGAAAGTCCCATTTATAAATGGCTGCTGCTCTGGATTCTTTGCTTCCCTCTCTGGTTCCTCTCTTCTTTGCTTGTTCCTGCCATGCTATGGCTTGTCGCTAAGCCCCAAACCAAGGCTGCCAGTGCACAGTCATTTTTGGGGTTGAGGAAGGCAGGGCAGAGGCAAAGTTTTTGGTTTATTACCCTGGCTTTCAGCAGTCTGTGCTGAAGAAGAAATAGCACAGCCCTAGGGTGGCTGCTTTTGGGAATTGAAGACTAAAACAAAGAGAAGACCAACTAAATTTGGGGTCTGGTCTCCAACGCAAGCAGAAATCCCCACGTGTATCTTAGCATCTCTACACCAGGATGCTTGGCTGGGTCACGGTCTGCAAACCCTTCCTGGTACCCACACTCTGGTCAAGCCTCACCCAAATACTGGCCACTGCCACTGGACAAGCCAAGATGCAGCACAAATCTGCCCTCAAATATTTGTTGTGAACTATTAAACAGGACAAACCCTAAAACTCAATGCTGTAACCAGGCAGCTTGTACAGTCCACTGCACGCCTGGAGCGAGAGGAAGACATTGCTTATTTGCAACTGGCATCCAACCCACTCCAAAACCTGCCTCAGATGGGACATGATACCTACAGGGAGGTTCACTCCAGGAGTCCAAAATACACCTTAAGATGCTCTGTATCCACCCAGCAAAGCACCTGATGCTACAAAGAAAAGCCCAGTTGTCAAGCAAGAGGACTTCACATGGGCACGTCACACTCTCCAACACACAGACTGACTCCGTGTCTTTTAAATAAAGGGCTTGGTATTTTAAAATACTTTGTGGAATATCTAATATACACTCCTGCAAAGGTATCTTAAAACACTTTGTGGAATATCTAATATATGCTCCTGTAAAGGAGAAGACTCACCAGTAACTCTCGGAGGAGCAAGAGCTGGATGGATGCAGGGGTGCAGGGATGGGGGCTGGGGAGAAGCTTCACTCTGCTGCTCCGCAGAGGGTGAGACCACCGTGCCTTACAACACAAGCTCCCCGCCTGCTTTGCGCGGGCTTTCAGCAATAGCAGCTGCAGGCAGCTATTTATATCCCATCTCCATCACCTGCGTGCAGCCCCCCCCCCCCCACCCCCTGCATTTTGTCAGCAATTTATCTGGGCCCAGATTTTTTCCAAAAGGATTCAGTGGCAAAGCCCCACATTTCAAGGGCCTCTGGCATGCCTGGAGAGGATTTTGTGCCCGCTGCACGTGTGGTTCAGCTTTGTCAATGGTGCGCAACCTCATTTCTTTTGGGCACCTGGCCAAGCCAGTCACACCCTAACCAAGACACAGGCTGGCATCCTTTCTCCTTTGGTCCCACGTCCTGGAGGCCCCGGGGACAGACCCTGCTGCTGTACCCATCCCTGTACCCAGCCCGAACGGCTGCCTCTCCCACCCTGATGCCCATCCATCAACTCTCACATCCCCTCCCCACCACCGCTCCTCTCCTCCCCCTGCTCCATCTCTCACTTTCTCTGCCAGGGGAATGTGAGTCAGGTTATTTTATGCTTCCATTCCTCAAAGGCTCGTATTATATAAAAAAGATGTTTTAAGTGCCTCAGGGCGTTTTGTTCCTCATTACTTCATAAAAGTGACATTAATAGCCAGGGAAGAGCACTGCCGAGTGCAATTACGGATGATGTTCCAGGTATGAAAGCTGTTTTGAGCCTGCTAATGTTTCCTAATTACAAGCCTTTTGGCACAGGGAGAGGGAAGGCACGAGCAGGGGGATGGAGAGCAGTGTGGGGCCGGACGCTTCACCTGGGAGAAGGCAGGGAAGGAGAGAACGTGGGGATGGAGAAAAGCTCCATCTTCACCGAGACCGCAGGACCGGTTCAGGGAAGGGATGCTCAGCCCCGGACCAGCCGTGGAGGTTGGCACAGCAGTGCCCTGGCTGTCCCACACCAGCCCAACGGGGTACCACTGCTCCCACTGTGGCTTCCCCAGCTCCCCACCAGTGTTTTAAGATACAGAGTGTGAACCCTGTGAGATCACATAAGGGTCAGCTGGGCAAGGGGCACTTACCCCCGAAGGAGGGTTGGCGGTCCAGCCCAGCTCCGCCGTCGCCGTCCGCGTATCCATCAAAGTTTCTGAAGAAACACAAGAGGAGGAAAGCAAACTAGTTACTCCCCAGGTTTTTGATGACATTATGAGCACAGAGACACAGAAAAAATGTTCAGCTTCTTTCACAGAGCGCACATCTGACCCTTGGAGCTGCTCATAAATAAAGCAGCAGGTGCCCTAATACATCTAATGAACTAAAGGCGGCTTCACTCCGGAGCAAACAGTGCAGGACAAGACTCTGCAAAGAGTCACAGCCTGAACCCAGCCCACACTGCCATCTCTGTCCCTCCCAAGCCTAGAAAAGGAAAACAGCCTTACCAACTAAACCATAACATAAAAATTAAGAAGGATGCTGCATTGCACGGAGTCATTACATGCACATACAAAACCCTGCCTAAACCCCAGCAGGAAGTTTGCATTAGCTCCGTGGAAGCAGCGAGAGGTTGCAGGAAAGTCCCCCACTGTGAGCAGAGCCCAGTGTCTCTCCCAGCACCCCCCTTCTGGCTTTTCAGAGGGTCCCATCCGCCTCGCTCGCAGCTACTTGCTTCACTCGGCAATGCCAGGCGTCCCCTTTTACCCACTACATCTGCCCAGTGCCCTGTATTGTCGTTGCACACAGTTATTGTTTGTCAGAGTGATTTCAAACACACAAATAAAAATCACATTGTTGGAGCGGTGTTCCTCTGCTGGGGGTCTTTTGATGGAGGATTTGATGGGAAATATTTAAAAGCTGTAATACAGCTGACATTTCCCTATTTTTATTATTTTTTTTTTTTTTTTAAATAAAAACACAAGAATAATAGTGAGAGCAACAACACATAGAAACAGATGGGAAAAATCTTCCAGGTTTTATTTATTTTTTTGCAGCAAGCAGACATGCAGATTAATTTCCTTGATTCCTGTGTCTCAACCAAATGGGAGAAGGAGATGCACCGCTGGCGGCTGGCATAGCCGAACATTCCCCGACCCTTCCCTTTCCTCCATGGTCCCAGGTACTCACAGCAGCTTCACAGAGCCAGGAAGAGGGGAACAACCAGAGAAATAAAGGTCAGGAAATAAAAATCAGCCCAGGAATATGAACTGCTGCCGGCCTGCTGCTTTTAATCTCTCCACGCCTGCTCCAGCAATCGCAAGAGGGAAATGAGACTCCTATTAATCTTCTCACCCCTCCCTTTGCTGGCTGCCCCGGGATGGGAAGCTGGAGAAGCGTGACCAGGAACTCCCCACCCTGCCACGGGTGATAAACGTTCCCCGCTCCCGAAATCCCTGTCGGAGCTGCTGACCCAGCCTGGCTCCCAGAAGCGAGCGGGGCCACGGAGGCAGGAGGAGCAAGGCAACCCTCCCCAAAGGTGGAGTGAAAAAAGGGGGTTTGGGGAGCTTACAAAGCTTCTGCCCCTCTAGCCCCTTCTGGGATGCTGCTGTGGCACTGCTGGGGGGTGGCTTTCAAAGCCCTCTGCCCTCCTTCCCTTGCAAACAGCCCCACGCCTCATTAAGCAGTCATTAATCCCGACTATGGCCCTTCAAATAAGCAGGCAGACATGCCCATGCATAAACGGATGCAAACAGCCATGCAAACATCCCCCAGTCCGCCCTCCCAGCAGGAGGGATGCTCTGAGGGCCCCTAAAATCCTCGGAGGTTTTCCCCACGGTAAAAGGGGGATCCTTGTGCCACGCAGGGGAAACTGAGGCAGCAGAGCCCAAGGTGACGCAGGGAACGCGGCAGGGCTGGGACCCATCCCCGGCCCACCCACTCTCTGTGGTAAATAAAGACACGCTCACTTACGGGAAAGGCACTTCTTGCAAGGGTCTAATTCAGAGAGGATTTTCTCTCCATCGTCTCCCTTCCTGTTCCATGCACTTACAGCTTCCTTCCCCGGGTGTTTTTAGGTTTGGGGTTTTGTTTCTTTGTTTGTTTTTCTTCCAGTGGGGCGATGACAGAGGAATGTACTTTTGATAAAGTACAGCCCCAGTGCGGGACAGCAGCATGCATGCAAGGAGCAGCTCTGCTCCAAGGTGACATCCACCAGGATCCCTCCCAAGCAGCTCCCTCCCAAAATCTCCCCCCTTCCCTCCTCTTCTGCTCCCCCCCTAAAGATTCCACATTTTGAAAAGAAAGCAGGAATGCACAGCAGCAATGCCGGCGCAGCACATAGCAGCTCCCAAAGCAGGAGACTTCAAAATAACTAAATAAATAGACAAATAAATGAAGAAATTGAAAAGAACCACAGAGCAGCTTTCACTTTGGAGGGTTCCGGAGTCCCAAGGGGACTGCGTGGCCTGTGGCCAGGGAGGTCACGCTCGCAAAGTTTCCATCGCGGATGTATGATTTGCACTTCAACAACTCTGTCTCCAAAGCTATTTGCAAACTAAAGGAAAAGGAGGGCTGATAGCCACCGCTAAAAGCCTGACCCTCTACAGACCATCTCCTGCTCAGATCCTGCCCTGACTCCCAAGGACACTGCCATATACTAGAAGATCCGTAATCAGGCAAAATAGTTTGGCTGGTTTGTGGGTTGCTTTTTATAAATAAAATAAAATGGTTAAATCCTCCCTTTCAGCCCAAATTCCTGCTGAGCTCACCCAAACCCCGTGACTGCAGAGGTACCGGCACCAGAAGAATTCGGCTGAGCAACTTCCCACTGACCTCTGCTATTTCCTCTTGCAGGATATCTTGGATTTTACTTCATTTTCTGGGACGTACGAGTGGCACTGTGACCCCGGTGGAAACCCCACAGGCACATTTATGGCCAGGCCACTCGGGGCTAAGGCTGCTGAGCACCCTCCTTCACCGGGGCAGGTTTTGCAGACACTGCTGGCTCTTTCTTGCCCCAAGTCCTCGCAGAGAAAGGGGGGACAAGATGGGGCTCCCAGCCCTCACACCTCCATCTCTGGGCTGCAAAATATCACTACGGGTTGCGGGGGACACAGGGATCATCCCCCCGGCCATCCATCACTTGGGAGTGGGTAAAGGAGGGACGGGAAGTAAAATCCCTCTGCTCTGCCTGCTAACGAGGGGATTACTGCAGAGCAGTGCCTCAGCATCATTAATCAGCGGAAAAGCCACACAGACACCTTGCACCTCTCCTCCCGTGAGGACCGCTCCTCCTTATTTGGCACTGGGTATTAATTAATCCCCCCCCGGGGTGTCAGCGCAGGGGTACATCATCTCCCCGTGCCTCCTGAATCTACCACGGTATCGCTGGCCACGTCGGGTGAGCCACGAGCTGCCTGCCCACCTGCACCAGCCAGGCTCCGTACCTCCAGCGTGCCGGCGGACAGGCCCGGTGCCCAAGAGGGCACCTTCCACACCTGACCACCTGCGTGCGGGCACGGAGGATGCCCAGGGGATGCTCTGCTCGGGAGGGAGCTCAACACACTCGCCTGGAGAAGTCTTCAGGACCTGAGCCTCCACCAAAGGCAGCTGACCAGGCTGCAATGGCTGAAGCCCTCGTTAAGGAGAAGACGAGCTCTGCTATGAAGAGCTGAGCTCTCTTAGAGTGAAGAATCTTCAGCTGTATACAGTAGATTTTCTTTAATGGACACATTACTTTAAACTAAGCCTTCGCCATCTGTTCCAGTCCCTAATTATCAATACAAAAACAAACGTCTACTCACAATTACACTCGTAACGAGTAAAGATGCCAGCAATTAGAATGCACCAGCATCCTCGCCGCTGAGCAGTGCATCCATCTGTGATGGCACTTGCACTATCCAGGCAGGGAAGACTCGCTGCCGTCCTGGGCTCCCCACACCCTCCCGGGCAAACCAGTGAGAGATGTGGCCAGAGCCGATACCTGCAGTGGGATAAGCTGCATCTCAGAGGAGCGAAGGGTGGGCTGGCATCACATCACGCAAGCGGTGGGGGGAAAATAATAAAATGTTGGGTGAGAGCAGCCAGGCGCGGAGCACAGCAGCGCGGGAGCCTTCATTTCACACCAGCTGATACTGTCATGCCAACAACCCTTCCCTATAGGATTTAAGCCTCTTCCAGGAAAACCCTACTGCACCAGCCCAAAACGAAGCTGAGCTTATTTCCACACTTCAGACCTCCCCAGCGTGGAGGGCTCCTGCTGAGGCCCACCATGAGAAGGTGTGACTTCTTCCTGGCAGCGAGCGGGGTCTGGCCACAGGCAGAGAGAGATGGAGGCAAGGAGGCCAACGTAACTTGATGGCGTTTTGACACTGCCATCTGGAAAGGAGGAGATACGACGATAAATTTCCTCCTCAGGGAGGCCACAAAGAAACTTATGTGACTGCTGCACTCCTCAATAGATGCCTCGGGGACACAGTCCTTTTCCCGAAGCAAGAAGCAGCAGCTCTCGCTCCTGCAAGGAGATAACGGCAGGAACCAGCCTAAGGCACTCGAAAGCAAATGCTTGGGCATATGCAAAGAGACGCAGGCATGTCTAAGACAACCAAGAGGAAAAAGATAGAAATTAAGCAAAATAAGGAGAGAGGAGGCTTGATAACAACAGATGGTAGAGGGAGATTTGGAAAGGCTGCCAGCTGCTGGAAATAAGCCCCCCGAGATGCGTGGGGAGCAGAGAGGTGCGTGTCGATAGCTGAACCTTCGGAGAGGGGAGACGGGAGGGCAGCCATCGAGCGAGGGGCAGGGCCGTGGGGGCTCGGGCCTGGGGCCCGGAGGGGCAGGGGATGCTCCGCAGGTGGGATCTTCAGAGACTCATCCTGATGTGCCCTCTCAGAGGACAAAGCAAGCGCCGATGAGGTCAGTACATGGCCCAGCACCAGGGTGCATCCCCTGGGCAGTGCCAGCCCCATGGTGTGACTGCCTGAAGGAGAACAACAGCAAGACTTTTTTTTTTTCCCATAAGCAAAACACCGTATTTTCCCCTCTATTTCATTCTCATAAATGCCAAGCTTTCTTTCTACTCCCTCTTTCTCTCCCAAGAGCTTCAGCAAAATCAGCCCAAGGCAAATGCACAGCTTGGGAAGCTTCTGTCCAAGTTTGGTGACATTACCAGAGAAAGGGAACAATAGAGAAAGAGAGCCAAGATGCTTTATTACA